TAATTCACAAGCAAAAGCTGGTATTTACAGAGCCTAAGGTGTTTTTGACCTGGACTACTGGCCTTTGGCACCTTGCACAGTGTGTAATATGTACCAGCCAAGCTAACAATAGTGAAGACAATAAAATGAAAGGACCTTAGACTCATGCTACACAGATAAGAGATTAATCTAAAATGCAGGTCAATTGTCACTTTAGTGATCCAGGAACTACTGCAATGTCAACTTGTGTATCTTCTGTTTGGGTATAAAGCATAGATTTAAACATTTATTGTCTAATACTTTGTATAAAGTAACATTTTCTGTCATTTTCAAGTTTGAGCTAAAATAGATTCCCTTTCTCTACAACACATATTATGTGTGCACACACAGACACACACTTTCTGTGTAGGTTTTAAATGTTTATTATCATGTAAAAATATTATGTTACACTGAAGGCCAAGGAACTCACCCCTCCTTGGGGAAACTCTGGTTGATCTCTACCTGATGGTGACTGATCAATTCAGCTGTTGTTGCACTGAACACCTGGAGAAACAGAGAAATGCTTGGAAGCTTTGTCGGACAACACAGCGTTTGGGATAACACTGCAGCGGAGTGCTGAGGGGTGGGGGGTGGGGGGCTGACAAGCAGCACAAGGCAGAGAATGGAGAGATGATGATCATCACTGGCTGGATTTTATCCTGTACCCAACATGAACATCACCTCACGTAGACAGGACAAATCAAAACATCCACATTTTGATGTTTCACAGCCTGAAATGAAAATACAGCAGCAAAGTTTTTGCAGCTTCATTTACTCGCTGCAGCTCAGAACATGTAAGTGAAAGAAAAATATTAACAGTATTGAAAAATCACTTGATTTGGAGAAGGATCACCTCCCTGCATTAATACTTTGTGGGACCACCTTTTGCTTTTTGGATACTTCTCTACCAGCTTTGCTCACCTGGCCTGAGCAGTATTTGGCCACTTGCTTACAGAACTGTTCAAACTCAGGTAAATTGGATGGCGGCCGCTGGTGGACCGCACTCTTCAGATCATTCCACAAATTTTCAGTAGGGTTCAAGTCTGGACTCTGACTAGGCCACGCGAGGACATTCATCCGTTTCTCCTTCAGCCACCGTATGGTCAGTTTGGCCGTGTGCTTCGGGTCATCGTCACATTGAAAGGTGAACTTCCTTCCCATCTTCAGCTTTCTGGCAGCAAGTTTTCCCTCAAGAATTTGACAGTACTTTGCCCCATCCATTCTCCCTTCTATCCTGAGAGGTGGCCTAGTCCCTGCTGAAGAGAAACACCCCACAACAGGCTGCTACCACCTCCATGCTTTACTGTAGGTATGGTGATCCTTGGATGGTGACTTGTGCCGTCTTTCCGCCAGACGTACCAGTTGGCGTTGAGGTCAAAGAGTTCCATTTTGGTCTCATCTGACTGTAGCGCCTTTGTCCATTTGGCTCTTTGGCTGCAGCCCCCTGCAACCCTATTCAGGAATAAGTGGTATGCATAATGGATGGAGAGGAAAACTTGGTGGATGCAGAGGTCAAAGCTCAGTTATACTAACCAATTACTTCAACACTGATACTGGTTTCATAATCCTCATCTAGGACTAGAGACACTTGGCTTGTCTTCACTCAGGCCTGGCAATGAAACAGCATTTTAGGTTAAAGTTTAACCTCTGGTCAGTTACCTTTCCTGTGTTTGACCTGCATGCCATCAGATGAGCATCCAGCCAGGGGCCTCATAACCCTTTAACCCTGTTAAAGGCCCTTTTGGAAAAACCGGTCACTGCTTATGAGTTTGCTGTGGACATCCATCATTTCTGACCACATTGTATGTAGCCCACAAACACTGGATTGACATTTCAGTGATTATTCACCAACTTCACAATAAGAATGAATTGTGAGGCTCAGCACACAACGCTGTCCTTAACACACACTGCGACAACATTAAATCACATGTTCAGTACTCAGGACACAGCCAGCTCTTATTAGCAGAGATCAAATTCCTGTAAAGCTATAAATCAGATCAATATGGGTTTGATCAATACATTACCCAGGTGACCAACATTTCAAACTGCTAATCACCTCTTTACTCCTTTTATTGAAATATACTGAGTTGCTCTAACAGGAAATGGTGGTATTTCATGTTTCCCAGCATAACAGGCTTGTCTTAGTGTATTTCCTAATTAAAGATACAAGATAGACTTAAAGGTTTGACCTAAATATCACAGAGTATATTTAGAATCTGACCTGAATTGTGTCACAAACATCCAGAACACAGATAACAATAGTGAAATGGATGTAGTGGATGAACTCTAGACTATTATTTATAATAAAGACAATAGAGTCTAGAATCTATATAAACTCTGTTTGACAGCTAAACTGTATTTTTATTAAATAAGATGTTTCCTAAATGTTTCATCATTTTAAATAACGTTACATTAATCTGTGGACGCGCACACAGGCACATCGCACCGCCTACCCGCTGACCTAACTCATCTTTTCCCCTTCTAACAACTTTTTCTCCTTTAATCGTGTGTTAACACGCAGAAGTTTCTTGACTGGAGGTGTCCCGGTGTGCGGAGCGCAGCTACCGACGCGCAAACGACGCCTCCACGTCACTCACCAGAAACCTCGTCGAGCTTGTGCCCTGGTCTATCGCAGCAACCAGCGGGTCCATGCTGCTGCTCGTCCTAGGGGCCGTTGAAACACCACCACACCAGACTTTTCTCCACTTATTTATACCAGCCGCGGCTCCTGCCGAGCAGTAGGACGACCGGGTAGGCGGATCCCAAAGAGGACGTGCCGGAACCGGTCCGTGCTAAAAGAGCGATTGGCTGCGCGTCGGCCACGCGCTGCCAAATCACTTCGGGGCGTTCACACTACTCGCACAGGAAACGATCCCGGAGACTCCGAGACTGACAGACACCCATGGATGTATGACCGTCGACACACATGAAGTTGTTGTTTATTGGTTCAGTGAAGTGTCAGTCAAGTTGTATTCGTTCCTTACATCAGTGTTGAATAAGAGTCTCAATCCAAGCTGCTGTTCTAGATTTCTTTATTCCTATTCTTCTAGATTTCTTTATTCCTGTTCTTCTAGATTTCTTTATTCCTATTCTTCTAGATTTCTTTATTCCTATTCTTCTAGATTTCTTTATTCCTATTCTTCTAGATTTCTTCACTCCTATTCCTCTAGATTTCTTTATTTCTAGATTTTTTCTTTATTCCTATTCTTCTAGATTTCTTTATTCCTATTCTTCTAGATTTCTTCACTCCTATTCCTCTAGATTTCTTTATTCCTGTTCTCCATATCACCAGTAACAAAAAGTTGGGCCACTGTGTAAAATGTAATTAAAAACTGAATCCACTGGTTGGCAGATCATTTTAAACCTGTATTTAATGTTGAAACTGAACATTTGTATAGTTTTTGTGAAAATGGGGCCCATTTAAAGTTTGATGTGTAGAACGTTGGGACAGTTGTTTACCAGTGTGTTGCATCACCTCTTCTTTTAACCAAACTCTGTAAGTGTTTGAGAACTGAGGAAACCCAGCGCTTTAGTTTTGAGATCAAAATGTTTCCCCGGTGTTGTTTGATACAGGATGTTATCTGCTCAACAGTTCAGGGCCTCCTTTGTTGTAGTATGTGCACAGTGTGCTTTGGCATTGTCTTGCTGAAATAAACAAGGCCTTCACTATAATAAATATAATAGGTTGTAATATTCTCTCACACACAAACAGGTGATAAAATTGGGCTGGAACAGTTTAGCAGGAATCTGTTTTCCTGCGAGGTTGAAAGAAATTTCTTCTACATTACAATGTCTAATAGATCGACAACCACGTAGCTGGGAGTATTTCCTAGAAATAAATTCTCCTGGAACTGGGTGACATAACTGTGCACTGTTGTCTTGGAGCAGGGGTAGATTGCATTTGAATGCATTGGAGCTGTTTCATGCCCTGTCCTCACCACTGGGGACACTGTCACTCTCTTTACATAGACATTCACATGATTTGAGGACATAAGTCCCCACAATGTGAGCTGGTGCCCGGTTATTTGGTGCTCACAAGTATAGAAAGACAAGTCTACCCATGTACACACACTGTTGCAGCGACTCTGTCTCTGCAGGCAGGGCGTCACAGCGTCCCCTCTCCTCTTCCAGTCAGATGAGGCTCCTCTTCTACTGACAAAAAGACCTAAAGCCTAAAAATAGTCCAAACCTTCATTTGGCTTGTGAGGAATCTGTCTCAGCCATACTGAGCTGTGAAGCTCCATTAATGACCCACTGACTGTAAAGCTACTAGGGCTGAAGCTAATCATTATGGTTGTGTGGTTACAGGCTGCACTATTGCTTCTTCCCTCTAACTCACAGTGGTAAACTGCTCAGCTGCACCACTGCTTTTTAGGACTGCTGTCCTGTTGACACATTCACCCTTGCTTACATTGCTGGCTAGCGTTTTTAGAAGAAATAATGGCAACTTTCAATTATTCACTGAAAGCTAGAGGACCAAGCCCCCAACATGTGGCCATACAGCTAGTTCTTCCTGGTCCTCCAGAGGAACAGCAGCACCTTCTCAAGCTACTGTCACCGCTGAAGAAGTTGAAACACCGAACCTGCTGGTACATGACACAGTATCTTTCAATTCTGCAACTGGTTTGATGAGTGCAATTTATCCTTGACATATTACCCAGTACACAGAATTCTTTTAAGCTGTAACTATGTTCTCATTCACTCTGACTGAACCTCTGCATGTGTAATGTGCAAAGGTCTCTTGTACACCTTCTGACATTCAAACTGTTAATCCTAAACTTATGCTACACCTCAAAATGAGCCACAGACATTAAGGCAAATGAACAACAGAGCATCACCACAAACAGCCATACATTTTTTAAGATAACTGATTCATGAGGTTCGTCCTAACACATCTATGGTTTTCTAACCATGCCCCTAGAAACTAAACAAGTATTACAGGAACAGACACTGCTTTGTGAAGGGAACTCCTGATGGGTGTTTTATTAACTGGACATTTGCTACAGACGCAGTACAACCAACTCGACTTACAAGTTTATTTCTTTCAAAATAAACATCTGGCAAATTCATAAGAAATGCAATTTTGTCTGGACTACCTTAAAATGTGTAAAGTAAAAAGATTGTGTGTCGTCTATAAAATATCACTTTGGCATATTCTAATATCTACTCTACTATACTGTGGAAATAATCTTACAATACAGTGTACTACTGTTGAAAATTTGTTTTGGCACTTCCAGAAAAATCCTAAAATAAAACTATACATGTTCCATTTACCGCTGCACACAAACTAAACTACCAACTGTTAGAGCAGCATGCAGTGCTTGGCTGAGAGTCCAAAAGCAGATGGGTCAGAAACACATAACTCAATATAAACGTTATAGTAAATTCTCTTTTCTAAAGTCCTGAATGAATATGTAAGTTTGAAGCAGGACAGTGGCTCCTCTGCTATATATACAGCACACGGGTCAGAGGGGAAGAGCTCCAACAATGTACTGACCTGTTTAACATTTATGATTCACTGTTTGTTTTCCTGCCTTGTTTTTCTTTTCCTCTTGCAAATAAATGGCTGTCTACGTCCTCGTCAGCATAATGTTACACAGTCATCTTTAGGTATGATATCTAGGATGGGCTGCGATCAGTCTTTAAACGTGTTGCCTGGTGTCGAGGGTTCAGGCCCGGCGTCTGAGTGGCTGTCAGCGGAGCTCTGCATGCCTACAGCTGTCTCCTTGCTCTTGGCGGCATTCTCGCTCTGAGCTCGGTTCTGTTTCTCCCTCTCCAGAGCTTTCTCCATCTCTGTGTAGTAATCAAGAGCCTTCCGTACTGGGTCAATAATGTGTTGCTGTAGAATTAACAAAAAAATTAATAAATGTTCCCTCTGCCTTGATTTGCTACATCTCCCAGAGAAACTGGTCCGAACCCAAAGGAACCTTTGCTTGAGGTTAGTATATTTGTGAGTTACCTCCAGGCAGGGGAAGAGGTTGGCTAGCTCCATGAAGAGAGGCAGAAGGACAAATCGGATGAAACCCGTTTGAGATGAGGGTTTGGTTACTTTGTCTCGATCCATGAAGGGGGTGACTGGAAGACCCTCGAGTTTCTCCACATCACTCTGAGGACAGATGCACGGCACAACTGGAACGAATGCTTATAGAGCTGGTTTTGCCTTTTGTTACTATAAAGCACAGATTTACTGTGCTGTTCTTGGGTTCAGTGATCTAAGCGCCTACAGTAACTCCTACGATATCACACAATTTTAATATAATTACAAAATTCAGTTTTCAATCACTTCACCAAAACATTTGCTAGTCAGTATGTTACAATAAATATTAAATATAGGTCAGACTGCAGCAAGAACAATGGAAACAATGTGCTAGTCTTGAAACTACTCTTCAGGTGTTGCCACAGTATTAAATGTCTTATGATACAGTCAGAACCTGGTTGAAGAATTCCTGTAGAAGACAGTCCAGCCAGGGCTCAGCCACCTCCATGGGCCGCGCCTCGTTGGATATGTCGCTTACTTTGATCAGAATCATCATCAGCTGCAGACATGAGATAAAACAGACTCTCATTAATCATGAGAGGAATATAGGAGAGTTTGTCAGCCAGTGTTAGAGTCCTGTCTGTGCACACCTGAAAGGTATCTTGTATCTTGTCATGCTTTATTGCTCAAATGTTTGATTTGTTAAAATCTATTTTGTTTTGTTTTATTTTGCTTTTATATCTATTTCTTGTGTGCATTAGTTTCACTTTGTTTTACTGTTGACACCTTCACTGTCTTACCAACTTGTCATCTTTTAAGCACTTATTCAACTCAGCTTTATTTGTATAGCGCTCATTTCCAGCCTAATGGTGACTCAAGGTGCTTTATGTACAGGACAGACAGAGGAGAGAGACAATTAACATTACAGAGTAAAAGCAGTGAAACAAAAAACAGCAGTGTTTTCAGTTTAGATTTACACACAGCTACCGTGTCCTCAGATTTGACTTCCTACAGAAGCTGGTTCCATCTTTGTGCTGCATAATCAGTGAAGGCAGCTTCACCCTGCTTAGTTCTGGCCCGGGAAACAATCAACTGATTGGTATTTAAAGTGCTTAAAAAGCCCTTAGGTTTATATATTATATTTATTTTTATAGACACAGTGGTCCCTTAGGGTTGTAGGAACTGATAGTATAAAAGGCACCATAGAAATTAAGTTTGAATCGATTTGAATGTTGGTCTAACCCAGTGGTTCTCAAACATTTTGTGTCATTCCCCACTTAAGAGGGTGGACGAATTTTCAAGCCCCACTTGCCAAAAAAAAATGATAACGAAATCAACCAATTTTAAAATATCAAATTGATTGAAATATCAAATAACACCAAGTTCAAAACAGGTTAAAATATAAGTGCAACTGTATCATTTGACAGGGTTCAAAGTTCAAAGTTCAAAGTGTTTATTTTATCATATGCACAGTTAGGAAACGTGTTTCCCTGAACAATGAAATTCTTACTTTGCCGTCCACATGAATGCCACAAAA